GCTTAAGAATTAGCAAAAAATTAAAAACTTAAACCTAGAAATACCAGGTTCTAAGAGTTAATATAGTTGAAACCTAAAAATTAAAAACTAGAACCCAAGCAATGCTAGAACCTATACACTAGTTAGCTTTACTTATAAATTTCAAAAATCGAAGTATATAAAAATATCAATTCTAAACTAGATGATAGAAGATTTAAATCATCTTGAATTGATTATAGTAAATTCAGAGATATCAGATAAATAAAAAATAAAGAATTCATTAATACAATATAGTTTAACAAAATTAATAATAGATTGTATCTAAAGTGATTCATGATTTGAACAAAAACATATAAGAATTTATTTAGAAATTGAAAAAAAATTATTATGAATTGAGTATGAAAATTCTACATACTTGAAGTATCAAAAAATAACTACAGTAATTATGGTCTTGCAGGTTAGGTCTCGTAGCCTAGTGGTCTAGGTGTCTAACCCTCCACAGACGAGATCAACAGTTTGATTATAGCTAGTGGTAATTAATTTAATTAATTATTTCTGTAACCTTCGGGAGCTTTCGAATGCGAAACCCTGTGGTGGTAAGACCATGTGAGTATATATTTGGCCAATAAAGAATTCTTGGAAGGAGCCCTGAGCCATGGAGAAGACTGGGTACTATGTGTAACATGGGTTACAGAAGGTATTACTGCAGAAGGCTGTGCATGTGAATCCACGATTGGCAAGGTAGCACCAACAACTCTAAGGCAGCATTGAGATTTTAATTGGAAGGATGGCTGAATACGGTATATCCAGAAGTGGTAAGAGAAGCAGTAAACATAGTAAGGGGCTATAGTAAGAGAATGGCTTTACCAAATATAGAACACCTCTGGCGCAAAGAAACAAAGAAAACTAGCGAAAAGAAACCCCAAAAGTATGGAAGCAGGTGGTCTAATAGTACAAAAATAAAGACAGGCTAGAGAGTAATAGTCGCACAACCTATATGAGAGTCTATGACAAAACACGGCAGAGGCACAGGTCCCAGGTTACTGGATTGTAACAGTAATTAAATGAGATACTTAACTCCCATCCTAAAGATCCAGACCCCTGTATCACTATATCAATAGGGAGTACTATAGAAGGATTAGTAGCCTAATTTGGTAATGTACAACGCAAATATCTAGATCAACGTGAAATAATATCCTAGTATGGCAGCAGGTGGCTTGAGATATGAGTCTTATAACCTGGTAGCACCTAGCTTGAGATACAGATTAGGTTCTTAAAGTAGCTCCCCAGGAACACCAAACTGGAAGCACCAAGAGCACCTACTCGAAAGATACCAATTTGGAAGTGATACAAGAAACAAATTAAAAGTAATATAATAAATACTAAGAGGTAAAAGTTGGCTGATAGACATTGTATAGTAGTATATAAGCGGGATATATATAGGGTGTTATCTATTAAAACAGCCCTTTTTTACAATTTTTTAAAAAATAAGTTTTTATTAGATTTATATAAATTTTGACATGATCAACATTTTTTAATTATAAATGAAAGCTGGTTTGTATAATAAAAAATCAAGATAACTATAAAAGAAAAATTTCACAGGGCTATGTAAAGCCAACATATCACAAGATTACCCGATAGTCACCTGTTAAATTTAACCAATCAAAATCGGAAATTTAATTAATCCCGGATCAGTCCGAAAATCAAAACAAATGATTAAACTCAATTATCTCAAAATAAATTATAAGTAAAAAAGGGCTGTTTTAATAGATAACACTCCATATGATAAATATAGGTTTGGGAACTATCCGGTGATTTAGTAATTGGTCTAATTGCAGGGCGGTTACTAAGGAGATAAAATCTCATATAGCAGGTCACACATAGGTACTAAGTTAGTAACTGGATGAGTCTTATTAGATAGTTGTAAATGTATGTATGTATGTTTGTAACCACAATACTTTAGACAGTTAAGGCAAAACTGCCAAATTAAAAAAAAAAAATTATGGTCTTGCAATTTGTACCAAAAGATTCAATATGATAAAGCTTGGTTTATAACATCTTCATATTGAGATATTGGTATTCTATTCTTGAGTTATTGGCATCTTTATTTGTAGTCAATAAGAGCTGCTAAGAAAAATTAACCTTCATATTAAGATGTTGGTTTTCTATTTTGAAATGTAGTACTCTATTCTTGAGTTATCAGCATCTTCCTTCATAGTTAATAAGGGCTGTAAAGAACACTAACCTACATATTGAGATGTTGGTTAGATAAAATTACTTGTGCTATGAGGCTTTGTAACTTGTAAATAAAAGCTTTAGGAGATAGACATAATTTAGAGGGAATCTAGTTCAAATGAGAGAAGCGAATAGTTAGATACCGTATTTGCCTGTAATAACGCACAGGGTGTAATTTTGAATTTCGGCCTAAATTAAGCTTAACTCAGGCCGTGTCTCAAAATAACGCACCTGTGCTTTATTACAGGCAAATACGGTAATAATAAGCTAGTCGAAGGTATTGATAGTACTAGAGGTTGAATCCTTTAAATATCTATCATGGCTATTTAGTAAATATTCGCGGGTTTTGATATTGCCTTATTTTATTATTCTTTAATTTGATTAGTCGATTATTTATTTTATTCTCTGGCAATAAATAATAATACTCTTTTTTTAAAATAATTTAGTAAAATAATTTAATAACTTTTAATCTACTCTATAAAACTTACATAAAACATATATAGTTAGCTCTTTCTAAATGCATGTTTCTAAATACAAATTATATTAAATTTTTTTAAAATAAAGATCTAGCCTTTGGTTTCAGGATATACAGTATAAGGTTATATAAAAATTATATTCTCTAAATGCAAGTTATATGCCTACAGAAATGCATTTAAAGAGACTTGACTGAATTAAATACTAAAAAATATTACAACAGGGTAATACATGAGTTGTGAGCTAGTAAAATCCGCTATAATCATCAATAAGAGTAAAACCCGCTTTTATATAATAAAAAAATATAAACGCGACGTAGCGGACTGCAACTCAGGTTTTACCTGTTTTGGGCATGTACAAGACCAAGAATCTTGTTTACCATGTATGCTTTTTGCCCATAATGCGGGCATACTATAAGCCTTGTACACCGAATACGATTTTTATGATACTGTATGAATATTTTTTTGCGTTGGTATTAGGATCTTAATCGAATAGTAATGAGATCATAGAAGATTGTAATACACTAATATACAGTATAAGATTTGTTCATTTTTATAACCGTTTTGAAAACGGTTCTATAAATTGTCAAATTCAATCTGTGACCAATATAAGAAATGTAACCGACGCTTAGGTAATATGCTAAATACACGAGGCTGCCTTTTTGCCGTACACTTGCCACAAGAAGCTTAACGTTAATAGATAATTGCAACGTGAATTATTAATTATTAAACGGTGTTACGATAATAATCGTAACACGTGTAAATTTTGTTTAATTAGCATTTAGCATCTGTAGGGATCGGTAAACAAAAGTTGCCTTTTGTAGGATTAGTAAATAAAATTTACCTTTTTGATATATTCATATAATGTATGCAGTGAGTAGATCAATAAAATAAATTTACTTTCGGTTATATAATTTTCATTCAAACATTGAATTGTTAATGCAGTAATGGAGTAGCCAACCTTGTTAACTACCCTATCCAATTACAAAATTATAATAGATTTATTGCTCAAGCTAGAATTATATCTAGGATCTAAAGATTGAAGTATAATGCTATTACAACTGTACGTGCAACATGATTTTTTTTTATTGGAAAAATGGCTAAATGCGTGTAAAGAATATAATACTGTACTATAATATACGATAAATATTTCGTATCGCATAACATTTACACTAAAATATTATTTTTAACACACTATATATTGTAAAATATTACAAATTAAATTTTTTTTTTTTGTTTTTTTGGTTAAAATGTCATTTCATGCTTGTTATTTCTTTAAAACTTGAAAAACCTCATAATCATCTACTCTGAAATAATTCCATTTATCTCTAATTGTATGTTCATATTTCAACCCACCAGATGCGTAACTTGTTTCAGCCCGAGCAGCATCATCGACGATTTTCAATTCGTAAAATCCAAACGATGGTCCTAATCGATCATGAAGTTGAATTGCATCATTTACGTAATCTTCTTTAATCCTACTTAGTTTCGCTTTACTTAATTCTTTTCCATCTCCTAAAGAAAATATAAAGCTGTCACGAGTACCACGCCATTCGACATCTCTTGGCGAAGACCATCCTATTGGATTATAGCCTCCTATTAATTCATCTGAATTACTCACTCTTACGACAACTATAGTAGCACCTTGACCATCACATTGAGTATGAAATGTTTTAGCGAAATATCCATCACGGCTTCCACGAAATAATAATCTTTTAATAATAAAAAAATATATACATATTATTATTTATTTAAAGTTTCACATTAAATATTTAATGAACCGAATAAGTACCTGAAATAATACGGAATTGGAAACATTTCAGATAAAGACGTAGAATCCGTCACCTGTTTTCGATCTATCCAACCTGCAATAAGTGCAGCCTGTTGATGTGTAATAATTACTGAATCTATCGCTCTTTCCGGTGTTGCCGGTATTGTAACAATAGTTTCTGATTGTCTTTTAGCCAATAAATGTTGGACAATCCTTGATCTCAAATTTGATGGTAAAATCCTTATATATGGTTTGACTTTGGTGGTAAATTCTTCAATTGAAAATTGACCAAACCTTATCAACGGAATACATCGTTGTAAAGTTTTTTCTAATGCATTGAATTCTTTTGTGCCCCAATTTACAATGTTCAAATTCTTTAAATTCGGTGTGTTGACTAGACCCCATCTAAGTACAAGATCCCAAATTTTTCCTTCTTCCATACATAAATCATCACGATTTAATAAAGATAATAATGTGGCTTCATCTAATTCAATAAACTCTCGTGATTCAAAAAATTTAATAGGATCCGGACATACTATTGATATACAGTGAAATCTTAACTGATTACATGCATTTAGACCTATAACTGTATTTAGAACGTATAATATATTCTCTTGAATCCACGTCAGCTTATTTTTAAGAAGATAATCTTGTAGTGGATATATAAGCTCTTCAAATATTAATTCATCCGCTGCCAACAAAAGTTCTACAATGTCCTTTCCATTAAGTTTATCTAATACGATGTTACCACTATATATATACCTAGAAAAAAAAATAAAAAAATAAATTATAAAAACACGTATAAAATATAAAAATAAAATAAAATAAATAATACATAGTTAAAAATTACAAGTTCTTACCTAAGTATTACTTCAAATACTATCGGTCTAATATTAGGTTTTTCAAACACATACTTTGCCCCTTCTTTCTTTGCCCATTTATTTGATAAAGCCGCTCGAAAATACTCTGACCTTGCCCTTAGAATAACCGAATGTGCACGAAAATGTTTATTTTCAGTTTTGAGGCTCCCAACTTTAATCATAACGTCATAGTCTTCTGCTTGTTCGAGTAGAGTGCCGAGGTTATCAGATAGTTGAGAATGAAATGATAAAGACATGGTTTTTTTTTTTTAAGAAGGAAAAAAAAAAAAAGTAAAAATTCCTATATACAAAACTAAAAGACGTGTAACTGGAAGTTTTAATATTAGCGTAATTATGTTTATTTCAAAGGTCAATAATTTGGTCCGATGACTATTTTGTTTGTCAAATTTAGGCGCATGATTGGTGTATAATGAAGGAGTAAAGGAGCATAAGCATTTATACACAAAATAAGTGGCTTAGCAATGGGTACCTTACTATCCTTTATTCGGCAAAATCGGCTATCCGTATCTGGAAATTCTACCAATCATATTGCAATATTGCAGTTTCTGGTTTTCCTTATTCGGCCGGTAAATTTTATTCCCAGTAAGTGAAATTTGTGTGCGTGGCAATAACAAACTATTCTTCATGCAGATCCACAAATTTTTCGCTCACCATATATATATATATATATATCGATAATATCGATATATATATATATATCAAATATGTAACAAGTATAAATATGTTAAATATGTGCAAAAATGAACGTGTTGATCGCTGCGACTGTGTGAATATTTTTATGTATTTGATGTATGCAAATATAATACTATTTTTGTAAGGTCTTTGTAATGACTCTTGAATCACAAGACCGTTATCCGGAACATTCAAGATATTTATCGAACCTTCGATTCGTACATACTAGCATATCTTTGATCTACAGTAGTATAATAGTACACTAATAAAATTAAAAATTATCGTTATATATTTGTCTTATCAATGCCACTAAGTTAATCAATTTAGAAATAGCCATGTAGTATAGCATTTATAATATATATGTATATATATTTATATTTATTTATTAGAGGGTACAGAAGGTACGAGTAGTAACGGGATTTTCTGCACTAGTACTAGTGTTTAGGTCCGGTTTACAAGTGAACCGGTTAATCCGTATCATAACTTGCGACCCTAATTCTTTAAATATATGAGTGTCGTCAAAAGAAAACCCGACAATTTAAATATAGTCTATATTTAATTTTCTTTTGGCGACACTCATATATACTTACTGTACTGTAATATATATTATAACTAAACAGGCTTTTTTTTTCGTGATTTATCCCAGTACAAAGTCAGGTGTAACATAAAATCGAAACGATTGATCTTTTTAATTAATAAAATTTTACTTATCGCTATGAAATTGCCTTTTTAAAATTTAATTTGTTTTTTTTTTTAATGTTTAAATTTAATTTGTTATACTAACGCTATATACAAAAATATAAGATACTTTATTGTCCGGAGCGTAGCGGAGGACTTTCAATAGACAAGCAATTACTTCAAAATGTCATGGATTCCCCTCACCTGATACCATACGTGCATAATATTGCATATTTGTGTACCCTTATATTATCGTCACTACTGCACCGTCTGTCCGCCACGTGATATTATTTTTATTGGCCGATAATTAATTAATATTAATAACAGTAATAATATGTTAGGCTTCGGACTCACAACAGCTCCTGTTAAGTATATGATTGAATGTTGCTAACTTGCCTCTCTGGTAATGTTAACCACCCTACAATTACCAATTAGATTGCAGGACCTTGTGTAACAAAATAAAGAAAATTTAGAAAAATTATCAATATCACAATTTTATTACAAAAACTAACTTTGGGCTATTAAAAAAAAGTTTTAGCACCTAATTTTGCATATAAATAATTTATACTCAAACTTAATATACTTTGTATTCTAACTCTTATTTTTATTTTTATTTTTATTTTTTTTATTAATATTAATGTCATACATAATAGCTAAATAGATAAATTTTCTATAAGCATCAAATTTGATATAATATTTTTTACAAAAACTTGTAAAAAGTTATATCTATTTTTATAATAAAAAAATAATGTTTTAAAAATGTTATAAAAATGTTTTTGAAAAAAAAATTATTATAAAAATGTTTTTATAATATTTTTTCTATGAGTTTATAACTAATAATTGTAATATTATAATAGTGTTTTTTGCTAAAAAAAATTTTTTAAAAAATTTTTTTTGTAAAAAACATTATCATAACATTACAATTACTAGTTATAAGCCCATTATGAAGAGAAAAAATATTATAAAACATTTTTATAACAACTTTTTTTTCAAAAAACATTTTTATAATGTTTTCAAAATATTATTTCTTTATTATAAAAACAGATACAACTTTTTGCAAGTTTCTGTAAAGTTACACCTCTAATTTTATATTTTAAAGCTAATTTAAATTAATAAACTACTATTAACTAAAAAAAATTAGAAAAAAACTTTATTTAAAATAAAATAGTAGGATATATATATTAAGGTTGGGGTAGTTGTAATAGAGTTAAAAAGATATTATAAAACAAATAATAATAATAATATAAAGTGAAGTTAGATAAAAAAAAAAAATAAAAAAAACATTACTGACCAGAACAGTTCAACTCTCACCGATGATCCCTCGTACCGAAATTTTTGGAAAGAATCTAACTCAAAAAACAAGAAACCCGATATACAATACACCTGGTGAAATAAATGAAACCATAAGCCAGCACCTATCGTTTAGAGGTAGTTTTCATATGCTACCTGCTGATAAGCTTAGAGTTTATCACTCACTGCAGAGACAGCAACTGTCGTTTAGAAGTAGTTCTCATATGCTACTTGCCGACAGTCTTAGAGTTTATCACTCACCAAAAAGAAGAGTTCTCTCTGGGTTGAGTATATTGGGCTCTGGCTTTGGTAACCTTCACTCCTTAGTACCAAAAAAGACTAAGTACAATAATAACAAGAACCCTCAAACACCACCCACTTGGTTTGGCAACGAAAATTTCGGAAAAAGTGGGCAAAACAGCTTACTCCTGTCAAAGGATCGACATTGTTTACAGTTATCAAATTCAGATGATGCAGTGGAGTACAATCACGTACCCGGGCCAAATATAGGAATAGTGTTACTATTTCAAACTGGACTACCTCTGGAATCCCTCGTGGGAGTTTTGAAGACGCATAATGGCGGCGGCAACCACTTTAGGGACGGGACCCAGAGCTGTGAAGGCTAGAAATTTTTGATCTTATGTAGTGAAATAAAATTAAAGTTAAGGCTTAGCTTTACATTAGAGATATGCAGATGTTGTATTTGTTATATAATTTTTACACAAACCTGGCACAGGTTATAACAGTGTGTGTCAGGATCCCCTGACCTTTTTTTATACTCTTTTCATCTTTGTTCATTTATGATGGAATCTTATTTAGGATATGTTCTTTGTATATTCTGTTTGGTTTAGCCTTTCTCTTCTAGATGTAGTTTTTCTTTCATAAATGAGGTATATATGTTCTTAGCTTGTAGAAAAGTAGGAGATAATTATTCTGCCCGGACTTAGGTGGAAAAAGTTTTAAA